GTGCTTTCAAAGTTGATGGTAATGAACAGCGTGTGTTATTTAGAAACTGGTATCAGTGGCATAAAATTCTGTGCTTTGGCAGGGAAAAATGCTTAACTCTCCAGGAGTGCTGCAGCTTTATCCTGGAAATGAAAGAGATGAGAGATTCATACCCCTAAGGGTCTATCCTAGGACTCCTTCCCCTTTCTCTTTCATCAGTGCATGTAGCTACTCGGCTCCGATTGCTTGTGCTCCTTTAGTGGCTTGAGCATTGCTGCTTGCAGCTACAGATGGGAGCATCTTTATGAAAGTGAGAAAAATCAATTGATTTATCTGTCTTTTCTGATATCATCTGTCAAAGGTGGAGTTTAACATTGTTACCCCTCTTATCTGGGTGCCATTTGTTTTGAGAATGATTCCCTTGTGTCTCATTTATTTGTGAGGGCGATGCTTTATGTGCTGTATGAATGCATCATCTCAGTTCAGAAACCTACGTGCCTCATGTGGGCACTGCCTCAGCACACACTTTCCATTCTTCAGAAGCCTGTGCTGTGGCTCTCATGTGGCTTCTTCTCTATTCTTGCATTGAGTACCTTGAGAAAAGCCACTCAGGAAAGAATTAATGGTGCAGACCTTGCTTTGTGGTAGTGAACCTGACCCCTAGAGATCTTCACACGTACTCTCTAGTAGTGTGTTGTATGTAGCACATCTGCTGTAATTTGTTCCATTCTTTTATCACAGAAGCTGAAAAGGCAGTCAACAAAGTACAGATCGGATAAAATCTACCCTACAGCAGCATCTGAGCAACCAGAGAACACCAAGAAGAACAGATACAAGGACATCTTACCCTGTAGGTTGGAAATGGCAAATGTTCCCATTCAGCCTTTTGTTTTTCTAGCTCGAGTTTGTTCTCATCCTCTAGTATCTGCCTGCACTGTTGCTTGCATGTGAGCATATCACTGGCTCTCAGTTCTCCTTGACAGTCTTTGATTGTTGCTGTCCATGCTCCGGAAGACTTTGGCACATATTGTCCACAGACAGAAGAACTTCTATTCAGTAGGAAACACATCCTTTAATGATTATCTTTGCAAGCTTTCTGGGTAGCATTGCAACCACTTGTTTTCCAAGGCCTCGTAGAGGATGGCTTTGGACAAAGATGTCTCCATGATGTACAAAGCAGACTACAGGCAAAAACTGTTGCGGCTTGTCCCGGCTTAATGCAGTAGTCTCAAAAGGAGAGTCTGTCCTAGGATCAGAGCAGACTGTCCCTTTCATCTATTCTAGCTTGAAAAAAAAGAAATCTAAACCCACAGATCTCATTTCAGCCTGTAAGACAGAGTACAGGGTGATTTTAGTCTTGGCTTGCTCCACGGTCAGAGGAGATTGGTGTTGCATGGGGTAGTGGCAGCATTTGCAGCTCTTGCCTAAGCCCTCACCACCACTCTGAATGAGAGCTTGCCTGTCTGCTGTTTGCATGTAGTCAACGGCAGTTCTGTGGAGGGCTATCAGTACGTGCAGTAGGCATTAGCTGCTTGCACAGCCACTCATCTGCTCTGGGATGAGCTCTCACATGTACATGATACTCCAAAGCACTTTGTGCTGCAATCTGAGAAGCTCAGTTACCATGAAAGACAAACAGTAACTGCTGCTGCTTCTGCTTTTGTGCCTGCAGTTGACCACAGCAGAGTGGAGTTGTCCGTGATTACATCAGATGCAGATTCTCATTATATCAATGCCAATTTCATCAAGGTATTGCTTCTTTCATGGTGTTTTTCCATTATCAAGGATAAGTGATGTGAAGAAGACATGTACAATCAGGGAGCCCTTCAAAACCCGTCCTTGCAGCACAAAGGCACCAGGCTACAGGGCAAGGGACATGGGCTCATGTCGGGGCAGGTGGTGGAACAGTTTGTGACTCACAGCCCCAACTTCCTTGTCAGTGTTACTGCCTTTGGTGGGTGACAATGGTGCAAAATTGCCTGCTGCCAGAATCAGCTTGCCTGAAATCAATGCACAGACAGGAAGCCTTGCATGGCAGCACAGCTGAGAGCCACTGCAGTGGTGAGCAACAGGGCAGGTCAACGCAGACCGGTTCTCCATCAGGTCCTCCATGTGTTTTGGGACTCTCCTGTGCTCACAATGCTCCTCTGATAGAAAGGAAGGAAGGGAGGGAGGAAGGAAGGAGGAAGGTTTTCTTCATTCTCCACCACAGTGATATGAGGGCTTTGTGTAATCTGTCTGCAGAAGAACAGGCCTTTCACAAGGGGATCATGGTTCATTCTTTGGCCAACAGACACAGATGTGCCAAGCTGCACACTGCAGAGCTGAATCAGCTGTTGCAACATCACCTCCAAGCTCCCAAATGTGCTGCAAGAACCGGTGGTCACTGGGAGCAGATCTCACCTCAAGCCCAGCTCCCCGGCTTGGGTCTGCCTTTGGGAGGTTTGCGCACCATTGGTTTCTGGTTGCTTAACTTAATGTTGGCACCTAAAATTTGACAATATAAAAGCCCTTCTAAATCCTTAATGAGTTAATTGAATAGAAGTAAGATTCAGAAAATTGAATTACTTTATTTCTGCTAGTGAACTATGCAAAGATGTCTCCATGTCTGATTTGAATGCTGTTTTAGGGCGTCTATGGGCCAAGAGCATACATTGCAACCCAGGGTCCTCTCCCCACTACTGTCATTGACTTTTGGAGGATGATTTGGGAGTATGAAGTCCTGGTAAGGTGCAGATTTACATGCCTTTCTTTTTTCAAAAAAAGAAAAGTTGTCTGTACAGCCAGCCAGAAGTTCCTTTTGACTAAGCAGACAGTGGGAGTGTCAGGGTTTTACTCCAGACATTGTGTGTGCCCTGCATCCTTCCTTGTGAGCCTCCTCCTCACTTGTGCTGAGATGGGAGCCTGCTCATGGCTGTGTCTGCATTTGGGCTCTGAGTGGGAAAGAGCTGTGGATGATGCCTTCCGTCATGCCCAGGCTGTGGATGATGTGTCCCAAGTTTGATTTGCCTAGCAGTTCAGGACTCTGGGGAAGGCAACCCACAGAACCTCCTCATTGCTGATAAGTACCCGCAAGTGATGAGTTTGATTTTGCTGCCTAGATAAGAAACTTGTGTTCAGACTTTTCTAATGAACCTTCTTTCTGCAGATTGTGGTCATGGCTTGTATGGAGTTTGAAATGGGAAAGGTGAGTAATGTGTCAGAGATGGCCTCTGCCATGACAGTGCCAGGTCCAGGTGGAGAGATGTAGATTTATATTAAACGTCATTAGCGACTGTGAGTTTCTGTCTGATATGAGCGGTTTCCTGAGTCTCCAGCTGCAGATTCTTAAACTGTTTCCAGTAGTGTAGCTAGCCTCTTTGGAAGGGAAAAGCCACCAGTGATGGCTCCAGGGAAGGGGAGGCTGGAGCTGGCTGGCAGCAAGAGTTGGGCCTCCTCCCAGCGTGAGTTTTGTCCTGCAAAGTGAGACAGTGTGTCTGTGGGATGGTGGTGAATAACTAAACATGTCCTGCTTCTCGCAACAGAAGAAATGTGAGCGGTACTGGGCAGAGTTGGATGGGTCTTCCCTGCAGTGTGGTCCTTTCTTCATCACCTGTGTGAGTGCAGCTGCTGCAAGCACCGTAATCACATCATGTGCTGGAAACTCGAAAATGTGACTCTAACTTCTTGTTCTGCAGGAAGCTGAACAGAAGAAAAATGAGTATGTGATTAGGACTTTAAAGGTGACCCTGAATGAGGTAAGTAGGAAAGGCCAAAGCAGGAAATGCATCTTGGCTAGCTTTACTATATAAACAATATATTAAAATATGGCACATTTTGTGCAGAAATTTTATGCTGCTCAGCCTGCTATTTTAGATTTGACAGTACCTGAAGGAACAAAGAAAGTAAAAAAATAATTAACTCAAACCTCAATTTCTGAAGTTGTTTGTCTGTCATGGCAAATCAGGCCCTGGGTAAGTGAGGCTAACAGGTGACACGAAGAATGTGATAAAATGGCAATGCTTCTTTTGTAGCAAGAACAGCTGCAAACTGCACCTCTAACTTTTACCTACCAATGCAGACAGGAGATGTCTGCGGCACGCCAGCTTCCCTTGCTGTCCCAGCGTCCCAGCCCGTGCCTGTGGGAGCTGCGGCAGCATCCCCTCGGAGGCACGGGCCAGCCCCGGACCCTGCCAGCGCTCTTCTCCTCTTGCAGGAAATCCGCACCGTCTACCAGTTCCACTATAAAAACTGGCCAGACCACGACGTCCCGTCGTCCATTGACCCCATCCTGGAGCTCACCAGTGAGATTCGCTCCTACCAGCCGGACGACAGCGTCCCCATCTGCATCCACTGCAGGTGGGTGAGCCGGTCACTGGTGGGGAAGGGCCGCCAGCCCCCGGGCCCCTGCACTCCTGCTTCCCGAGCAGGGCGAGTGGCAGGCAGCACAAGCCTGCAGCCAAGCTCCTCTCGTAGGAAGTCCTGGGCAAAGGTGTCCTCTGAGGACAGCCAGCATGGCCAGGTGGCAGGGAAGGAGACAGGTAGCAGCAGGCCAGCGACAGCAGGGGTAGTGAAGAGACACCAACACTGGGCATGTCCGTGTGTGGGCCGCTCACCACAGGAGGACTGAGAACTGTTCACAGGAGCACCAGATGTGCCTTCCGGCCTGCAGCAGAGCTGTGGGCAGGTGCAGCCTCACGTGGCTGCAGCAGGGCCATCGTGTGGGTCTGCCACCCTCTGTGGTGTGGGACGGGAGGCTCACGGGAGGCTGTGGATCGTTTTCAAATATCCTTGTCAGAAAACACAGCGTGCCCATCCTCTGACCTCGGGTAGCAACCCTGCTGTGACTGTCGTTGCAGTGCTGGCTGTGGGAGAACAGGAGTCATCTGTGCAATCGACTACACCCAGAAGCTGCTGAAGGATGGTGTGAGTGTCAGCTCGGCCTGCATCTTCCAACGGTGCCCATGTGCGGCACCGCTGCATCTCTCTGTCTCTCCCTCGCCTCCTGTCTCCCCCCTTACTCTCCCTTCCGCCCCTCTCTGACTGCATGCAGATGTATTTCAGATGACAGCCATGAATGGGAACTCCCCTCAGCCTGACTGGGGAATGGTGGTGGCTGAACTGCTGACGCCCCATTCCCAGTTTGTGTTGCTTCTCTCTCTTCAGGCTCTGCATCATCCATGCACTGTTGCCATTGCTCCCCTCCCCATCCCGATGTGAACAGCCCCTGATGGGGCAGAACCCTCCCTCTCATCAGATCAGGGGGCTTAGCTCTGCACAGGCCTTCAGACTTCAATACAAGTTTACTGTCTATATTTGTCTCTCCTCACTCAAGCATCAGAAATCCAGGGTTTCCAAACTAACACCTTGCTTTACTTTCACTCTTCAATAAAAATGTATGTTTTAACAGTGAAGTAATCCCTGGCCTTGCAGCAGGTTGCTGGGACTCTTCAGAGTGGCTGCTTTCTGTACGGCAGCAACCCTGGACCCACTGATCTGGGAAATCAGTGTCTTGCCCTTTATGCTATTCACAGCTGTTACCAATGCTGTTTTACAAAGGGTATTTTCTGCAGAGTGCAAGACAGGAGGGAGGAGGCAAGCTGGTTCTCAATAAAAAATGGCACTTTAAGCAGGTCCTTTGTTAAAAATTCTTGTAATAGCAGGCCTGAATTTTGGACACTGCTCTAAACTTCACAACTTGGAAGCTGCTTGGAAGTAGACCTGTCTGTAATTTTTTGTCTGTTCTCTTTCTTGCAAGATTGTTCCAGTGAACTTCAGTATTTTCAGTCTGATCCAGGAAATGCGCACGCAAAGGCCTTCCATAGTGCAGACCAAGGTATGTTTGGGAAATTTCACCAGCTGGTATACTCTCCATACTGGGACCTCAGCTGGAGCGTTCGCAGTAAGGAAACATAGAACGACTGTGCTGCTGGGAGCTGTGGCATGTAGATGTTCTGTGAGGTCCCTTTTCTGATCAGATGAATAATTTTGCAGAAACGAATATGGTAACTGACCATTTCCTTGTAGACAGCTGGAATAGCTTAGTGCTTGCAGTCTGCTTTATTGAACGCTTATGCTGTGAAACAAGGGACTGTCCAGGAAATAAAGTGAGAACTCTTCAGACTGAAGAGGAAGCTCAATGCAGAACAGTGGTGTTTGTGCACCCGAATAAAACCTAAATGCTTCAGTCTGAACCCTTTGAAAGGTGTGGCTTCTACCTCTTCTGAGAATTTACCCTGCCAATGGACCAGAAAGTGGCAGCTTCTCTCAGGCTGATGCTTGATCTGGGTAATAGGTGACCATTTACAAGTACTGCAGGTGCTGGCTCTCATGTCTGTTTTATTTGTCTGGAACACAGGAGCAGTATGAGCTGGTTTATGATGCAGTGATTGAGCTCTTCAAAAGGCAGATCAAAGCACTCGATGCCCAGGAAGATTCTGATGCTTCACAGGTAAAAGTCCCCAACATGAACACACTGCCTCGTGCAGCCTCGGGCATGCCAGCTCTAACCTAGATTCCTACTGCAGAGGAAGACCTGGAATGAATTGCTGTCTTTTCTGCCACCCTTTATGCCCAAACTGAATCTCTTTTCAAGTTAACCCATAAGAATCCAGCTGTTTCCCCGAACGTGCAATGCTTATCACAGGATTTGAAGCCAATCAAGAGCTAAATTTTCTTCAGTCTCAAAACCATTTTCTATATACTTTTATAATTGTTTAATGTAATGAGTGAATAGAAAAGCACCAACATTCTACAGTAGTGGCTGATTTCCATGTGGATGTGCCAGTGAAACTTGTCTTCATGGGGTGCTTGCAAGTAACAGGGTGACTTTCAGTCTAGTTGGGGAAGCTTGGGTGCACAAGGTGGTATGGCTAAAAGTGTTAGTCTCCAAGACGGTGGTATTCTAGTGAGGTAATTAGCATTACAGCCTGTCTGTGGGAGAGAGTAGGCTAAAATATCTTGTGAAAAAACACATCAAAGTCTTTCAAATCTGATACCTCTCTGAGGAGAAACAATGTGGTCTTGGTATGAAGTTGCATATAAGCAGGAACATCCAAAATGTCCATGGTTAAGCCTTTCTTTGCTTCTTCCTGTTCTCCTGTGACTGCTTTCCTGTGTAGCTGTTTGCAATCTGGCTGAAGTAAATGCATTGCCATTCTTAGGCAAAGGCTGAAAGGTTACGTTTTGCTTATTTTGTCAGAAATTTTTCTCTAAAGAATTGGGAACAGGATCCTATGATGGGGCTCATGCCTCAGTTTTGCCACAGGATTTGCAGGATGTTCCAAGCCAGAGCTGAGTGAGAAAAGAGCTGGAAAGAGCCTCTTCCTATGTGTTGTGGACAGTCTGTATGCAAAGAAGATGCAAGACTAGGTTGACATAAAATGCAGAAAAGTGTTCAAGTCCGGATGTGGTTTTGTAGCTCCTGGCCAAACCTCTCGCCCGTCTAAACCTCGCTGCCCTCTGAAAGCACTTCGCAGAGCATGGGGGATGGTCATGTGCTGAAATGTCACAAATGAAACCAGCACCCGACTCTCCAGGCTGAATGCCTGCGTGGGGTCCTGACGGCAGAGTTGTCTGCACAGGCTGTTTTGCAGGTGTTTGGAACAGCTGGATGGTTGTGCGGCTTGCTCTACTCTCATTTCAAAAAGGTGCTGACAGGAATTGCTGTTCACAAGGTTCTGTCCTCAGTTTTCAGCTCCAACTTGGTGTTTTCAAGTTGGTGTTTGTCATTTCCAAACTGCATTAATAATTAAAAGTAGTTGGCACAAATTCCAACTCCTGAAATAGCATGTTTGTGTTCTTTCTATTCTTCTTTCTCACTCTTGTTTTCTAACCTTTTCTTTCACTAGGTACAAACAAGGCATCCTGTAGCCAAGCCAATTCTGACTCCAGTGGAAGATATTTATTCTCTGAGATTACTAACCTGGTAAGGCCATAGCACAACTATCCCCTGGGTTAGTATTTTCAGTCACCCATATGATTTCAGGAACGTGCATTTTTTAATGTGTACTTTGTGACATAGTTCTGTTTGAACGTTGCATTTTATTTGCCAGCAGGATCTGCAGCCTCACTTGAGTCCCACTTTCACTCTCACATTTGTTCCTAACATAATTCCTGCTCTTCTCACTGATGTGGCTCTGAGACCGAGTCTCAGTCTCTTCCCTGCACGCCATTATCTGTCCCCCTCTTCTGCCCTTGGGTCTGCTTCATGTTGTGCTTACACAATGTTCACATAGGAATGGGAAACACGTCACAGAGCAGTATAAAAAAAGGCTCATGCACGTGGAGACACCCCAGTGCTGGTTCATCTCAGTCCTCTGCCTGGAGCTGTGCGCCCTGCAGGGTGCTCCCCAACTGGTCCCATCTTTCATCTGCACATGCCACTCCAGTGCCTCTTGCTGTAGGAACAGCAAGCCTGAGGAATCTAGCTTTCTGACATGGGCAGCTTCAGAGGGTGGTGGGATCTTTCTGTGGGCATGTTTTGGTTTGCAGTGTCTGCTTTCTGTAAATAATTTTGCTTTTTGGTATAGTCTGCATTGAGGGTGTAGTTTACCTGTGTAAAGGGTCCTCCTCTGTTCACCATTTAATGGTGTTCAAATGGGGCACCACAGTGCACAGTCCTTCCCTGTGCTCCTTGCTTGAGGCTGAACCGGGCTCTACATTCTGGGAGCAATGTTGCGGGGCCTTGTTAATAGGCTAACAGATTTCTGAGTACTAGATGGCTTTGACTTCACATGGCGGTTTATTGCAGCTCAGAGCGAGAGGATCAGGATGTGCATCATCATCTTCCTCTGGTGGTACAAAGCAAACCATCCCTGACATCATTGTCTGCCACGGGAGTACACGACAGCGCTGGACGTGGAGTCCCTCCCATCAGACAGGCCATCTGCTTTGGCACTTTGAACTTCTTCAACTGCAGGAAGGCAGCTGGTGCTGAGAGGTGGGGTGCTGGGGATGCTCTTCAGAAACACCGCAGTTTGGAGTTCAACAGCATCTCTCCTGAGCAGTTGCTTCTGAACCTGGAACCGAAGGGAGCAGGCAAGAGAGGGCCTCATGGCAGAGGACCTCTGACACGGACTGTATCAACCCCTTTTGTGCTGGCACAGCGGGGAGAAGGCTGGGAATGGGATGGAGGGGATGCAAGGCCTGTTTTGAGTTCACAGTTGCCAAATGCCTGTTACTCAAGCTTTCAGGTGAAGAAGCAGGATGGATTTTCCGCTGTTGAGCTGAACCACTCAAGCCAAGAAGCAGCTGGCTCCCCGAGCCACAGGAACCTTGTACAATGTCCTTACCCTTACTTCTGCTCATCAGAAGACCCCTACTTCTCTTCACTCTCTCCAGATGACCCCATATACCCAGTGTTTACCAAGTGCTTTGTGGAGGGGCAGGATGCCCTTCTCCCTTCTTGTGCTGTGAGTGCCCCACTGCAGCCTGCTGCGGCCAGCTCTCCACCACCCAGGCCTATGTCCCACCACAGTCCCCTGCTGAGCAACGAGAGCATATCCTCCCCGAGTAAGTGGCGCAGCACCATGACAAACTGGGTTTGATCACTGTGGGCTGCAGCGTGCTGGAGGGAGTGGGCGCATGTCGTCTTTTGGCGTCTAGGCAGGGCTATAGCTGCTCCTCGGGACTGCAACCCCCCCCAGAGCTGAGAGCGCAGCTGGTTTCATCCTCGCACTCATTTTATCCTGCCTTAAATTTTTCCTAGAAAAGTAAACAACAATTTTAGAACGGCATGATTTTTGGTTTTACATTACACAGCTGCTCTGGACTATTGTGTTGCCTCGGTACAGCTCTCACAGAAAGGCAGGGATTGGTGCTGACCAATTCTTAAAACAGAGCGCTCCAAGAAGCATTCACAAAGCTCACAGAAATTATTTTCTCTGAGTATCTAGTTTCCAGGTCAAAACCCACTCCTTTCTGCAGTGTTGTGCAGGGGGACACCGACATCCCGCTGAGACTGAGAGAACCAGGACTTCAACATTAGTGTTTTGCCCAGATCTGTACTCTTAAATCCATCACCTGCCATATGAAGAAGGTAGAATTTTTCCTCGGTCTGGTCAGTTCTCACCCAGTCAGACATTTCCCATTGTCTGCAGCTTTGGCATTTGCTCAGCTTTGTCCTTCTCAGGCCGTTCAGGATTCAGTGTCACAAAAGTGTGCTTGTTATCTAGATGCTAGAGACTCTCGGAAAGCTATGGGAGTAGCAGCACAAGCCAAGCAGCACTGGTACTGCCAGCTGTGAGCTTGGCTGTGTACTGGGGGTGCATTCATCATTTTCCCCTCTGCAATGGGAATTCTGCTGCCAACACTGCTGGAAGTGTGCCCCTGGGGCCACGTAGCTAGCAGTGGGTGAATTGGTGCTGAGGACTATTTAGATTTTTAACTACACATCCGAGGTGTTTAACCATCATCTCTGGTGCACATCTGGGCAAGCGCAGTCAGCTCTCAGAGTCCCTGCAAAGGCCTGTAGTTCTCCTGCTGTGTTGTGCCATCCAGGTAATCTGTCCCTGTCTCCCCCATTAGCCACCCTGCCACAGCCAGATGATGATGATCCTCCACCCCTGCCTGAGCGAACCCCTGAGTCCTTTATTGTGGCCAATGAATCTGGTAAGTGCATTTAACACAGCAGGGGCTGAGAAGTGCTCAGAAGGCTCTTCTCATGTTTGTGCAGTATCATAGCACCCGGCAGTGCCTTTGCTCTGGCTGCCTGGGATGAGAAATGACCTCTCGTGTTCGATTGTTTCTAGGACAATTTCCTCTGGCTACTTCTGATTTTGAGCTTCCAGTCAGAAATACATATATCGGAACCTCTTTGGAATGGAGTGGTGAGTCTCACTCAGAGGTGTTTAATGACTCGGTGAGACTGAGACCATGTAAGGTAAGTGGCTTTTTATCTCTTCTCCAGCACTATCAATATGCCAATTTCCTTATCACGTTTCCTTCTGTGAGAAAGGCCCTAGTTTTGGCACTGCGTACTTTCCATAAATTATTTCAGGGTTCAGGACTGGAAGGAAGATGTGGTCTCAGTCTGGCTCCTCCTTATGAACATCTAGGTTACTCCATTATTATTGAGTCATTATTTTTGAGTCCTAAATCCCATACGAGGTGGTAAAAACATCCCTATTTTAGAGAAAGATAGTGGAGACAGGAAGTTAGTGGTCCACTGAGGTTCACACTACCATGTGGAACACGCATCTCTTGATCATCCCATAGTTGAATTACAGCTTTGTAAAGTGAAATAAAGTGTAAGTTTATCTTCCATTACATGAGCATGGAGATGTGTGGGGGAGGGTGTTTCCACATAAATCATTTCCTTGACTTCTCTGGCTTGCTTGTGTGCAAGAGAACAACATTTGTCTGTGGGAATTTCAAATACCTTCCTTGTTTTTTGTTTCCAGAGTGTGAAGCTTCGGAGCCCACAAACAGGTATACGTTTAATGCTGGGATAAACTATCTTTGGAAATAAGGTCTGCTTTTTACTGAAGCTGCTTTACCATATTTAGTAAATGTGTTTAGGCTCTGTGCTCAGTCCAACGGAAATTTCGTGTTGCTAAATAGTTCTGCAACTAAATAGAGCTAAACAGAACTAGACAGTTCTGCAACCAAACAAACTGATAGTTCTACATTTCCTAATCAGCTCCTGCCTCACCCTGTACATGATGGTGTTCCCTGCAGCCTCCTCAGACTAAGGGTTGTCACATCTTTTGCTGCATGTTGGTGCCTCCTTTGACGACTGACACATGCCGGTTAGGGTGCTGTGGACCTCTCAGTGAACTGATCTATCTATCTATCTATCTACATATATTTAAGTTAGGTAAACAACTCTTTTACCTTTGCTTTCTTAGAGACAACCCGGGATCGCTCTAACTCTCCTCCTCCACTTCCTGAAAGAACCCCAGAGTCATTTGTTCTTGCTGATGCAGCAAGTAAGTAATGAGTTATTTTCTCGGCATGTAACTGAGATTTTATACTTACACCTAAACCTGTAGATAGCTGAGGAGATTGTGGCCCACTTGTTCAAAGCATTGCCGGTGGTAGTGCTTCAGGACTTAAGTGCAGTTCAGCAGATACAAAGAAAGTAAACGCAACTAGGGGACCTGCTGGAAATTTCTAGAACTGCTGCATTAGAGGAAATGAAAAGCAACAAAGCACTTAGAAAAAAGCAGGAGGATTCTTGAATGACCACTGAAAATGTTCTGATGTATATTCCCAGGTCTGCAGCCTGCTGCAAGAAATTCTATGACGAGTCCTCCAGGCTTGGAGAACAAAGCTCCTGAAACATTATCAAAAGAGCCTACGAAATGCTTCAGGAGAAGCAAGGTAAAAGAAACAAGATTAAACAAAAGCTATTGAAAATGCAGGGGGTGAGAACAAGAGATTGTTCTAGCTACAGCTAGTGCTACTTTCTCTCTGTTAACCTTGTGAAAATGGCCTGCTTTGATACCATTCATACTTAGGGCAAGGAAACAAGACTAATAAAAATATTCTGTTGTAGAACTGCAAACAAAACCACTGTCTGCACCAGGAACAGAGTAACACAGCCATATCCGTGTGAATTGTTATGCCTCAGCACTCCGTCCACCTGAAGTGCCAATTCCTCTCGCAAAAAGTTGCTCAAGTGGAGTCTGAATTCCCACGTAGGACGGACTCTGCTCATCACCAGTCTCCTCTTGTTGTGGCCCTAGTTAATTATCCTCGTGAGCAATTGTACTTCAGGATGTTACTGTTGAGCAGAAAAGCATTTGAGGAAAACAGCAAGAATAATACAAACTGAAGGCACTCCAGTTGGCTGGCTAGAAAAATGCCAGAGACAAAGCGAATGGCAGAAGTCTGCATTTCAGCCTCAGCTGCTAGGCATGATACTTCTTACGTGATGTGATACATGTATATTTATCAGTGAATTCCCTTTATATAGTAGCTGATCTACTGTTCGCTACATTTTTTTCCAACAAGCTGCCTTTTATTTTTTTTCCTACAGAGCTTGAAAATATTGAAAAATGTGAGAAAGAGTAAGTCTTTCAGGCTAATGTGCATCTTCCTGATGGCTTTAAGCAAGTATATAAAGAAATATGTGGGACTGAATTTTCAAGAACCTGAACTTCTCAAATGTGAAACACCCTGCACATCTGCCTACTTTGGAGCAGGACATACAGAGCTGTGCTGGCTAGCTGAGTATCATCTCATCTGGGTAGCAATAGTTGTTTTAGGGATATCATAAGGATGCTGTGGTACCCTTGTAATGCCCTTTGGGTACCTAGGGGACCGCTCCAGTGTCCTCAGATTACTAAATTCTTCAGGTCATTCAAACCAGTGTTGTGGGACAAATACTCTAAAAATGGGGGATAGTGATGCTTTGGGAATGTGAACCCCATCCTGGATTCTGCCCAGTTTATTTGGAGCATAAATAAGGAGTTTCTCATTAAGTTCCCTTTGATCTAGAATCAAAAATGCTTATCTTGAAAATAGGACTGCTAAAAACTGTGTAAAGCACTTCTGAGCAGACATTTTCCCAATGGATTGTGCTGCAGTAGTACATACACTCCCTGCTATGAGCAAATAATGTCTTTAAAACTGTGTGGCATTCAAACTCTGATAGTGTGGCAAGTACTTAACTTTGTCTTGCGCCGAAATAGCATCCATGCCTAGTGTTATCATGCATGTGGCAGTATGCATTTTTCTATAGGTGTGAGTGAGTCCAGCTCTTCAGGGAATCACCACAGTGACTAACTGCTTCAGTCTAATTTTTTATTTCTAGGCATCTGTAGTCCTTCTTCACTGACAAAACCATCAGAATCTGCCCCGTCAAACCATTCAAGATCTTTCCTTAACTTTGGTATGTTTTTCTCTTTGTGTTTTGGTGTAGGAAGTACCTGTTTTTTGAAAGTCAAAATGCAGGTCCCAGGCTGAATGCTAACAAATTACAAACATTACAAATAATGCTTATTATTTTTTACACATTTACAACTTTATTCACAAACTGTTTAAAGAACAGGTAAGGATGTAAAACACAAACCCTGAAACCTACTCTGACATGTTTCTCAGCGTCTGAAGCCGGTATTTGGCTTTCCTGTATCTGAAAGCCTTCATGTGGCAACAGACAGCGGAAGACAAAGCTGTAGCATTGCCACTAGGCTGCTGCCTTATGTTCTGTAATATGGCAGAGGAGAAATACCATGTTTTCCATTTTAAATTCTTCTACTACAGACTACTCATTTATTAGATTAGGCATAAAATCTAGTTACTGATATTCATGCTATAATGACAGTATTTGCCAGACAGACACATGGGTAGACTGTTTTTGCACCAGTTGACTTAAAGCTACAGGATGTTGCTTTAAGCCTACCATATCTCAAAGTTTACGAAAGAACTGAAATTACAAATATTTTCAAATACCATATTATCTTAAGGAATTACATAATCAACATCTATAACATACATAATTTGTTGCATTAAAAAAAGTAATTTCTTCCTAGGCTTTGCAAATCGATTTTCAAAACCTAAAGGACCAAGAAATCCACCACCGGCATGGAATATTTAGACATGTTTTATAGATTGGGCATTACAGATTTGTGAAGTCCTTCTGATATGCCTTGAGTGCTCATCCCAGTAAGGTTTTCATCAGATAATACATCAAAAGCTGTTGCATGATATTTGCAGCTCAGGCACAACTTGCACATTCTTCATCAACTGAAGTTTCACAGTAAAGAAGAATATGGAAGTACCAGCAGCCATTTTCAGTTAATTTACAACAGGATGGAAACTAAAAACGGGAATAGATATTTTATTTTAAGAAGGGATACATTTTTATTGTGTTTTGGTATGTATTCACTTCAAAAGGATGGATTTGCACTTTCTGAAACAAAGCAGTATAAACTGGTGATAGGATCCAGCAAAGGCTATTGAATGCTATGGAAGGCCAATGGAGAGGACCAAAGCAGAACAAGACTCTGGATCTGTAGAGCTGCAGCATCTGTATAACTTCACTCACATGTGTAGGTCTACTGTAATCAAAGACCCATACTTCCTTAAATGTTTACATTACTTGGACAAAAACAGAGTTAGCATCTTAGACTTTAGAAATATTTTTTCTTTTTTTTCATCTGAGCAAATCACATAACTTGTCTAGATTTTTGGTCAGTAAGATTAAGATGCTGATTGATCATGTAGAAACTAAAGTAGTGTAACAGACTGCAGAATTAGCGGACCCAACCACCCTTGCTATCTGAAAAAAAACCCAAATCAAAACACCACCAGATCAAGCAAAATATAATTGGGTTTTTTTAAAGCAATGCTGTTTTTAAGGTTTTGTCACTGTCCTGAGCAAAATTTCTGATGGATACCTTGGAAGATGAAATTCCTCACCAGATTCCACTGCTGTTTATATCCTCAGTGGGGAGGGATAAAGATGTTGAAAACTGCTTTATATGATTATTTTCCTGTAGAGAGAGAAAAACAAAGTGGGTTTGGGGAATGTGGTTGAGAAAGGAAACTACTGATCACTGCTGGAATAGAGAACTCAAGCTGGTTTAAAGCTGCTTTTGCTCAAGCAATGGCTAATGGCCTGCCTTATTTTTCACCGGTCACCTGTTTTTTCAATAGCAGAAACCAACAAAAGGCCTTACCTAATTTATATTCCTGTTGCAAGTATTTCTGTACCAAAACCACCACCATCGGTCAGTGAAGCAGTCTGGACATACGTGAGGCGGTGGGGGGCCTCGGCGCCCTCGCGCAGCGGAGCAGGCCGCC